TGTTGCTGAAGAGCTTCCAGCTTGCCCCTCGTAGTACCGTAATCAATCAATCTCCAACAGTGCCCCCTCCCTTGCTGAAGAGCCTCCAGCCCTCATAGTGCCCCCTCCCCCTCCAGCATTGCCCCCCAGCTGAAGAGCTTCCAGACCCCCGTCTCCAACAGTGCCCCCTCCCTTGCTACCGTCAATCTCCTCCAACAGTGCCCTTGCTGAAAAGCTCCCTTGCTGAAGAGCTCCAGCCCCCTTTAATACCATCAATCTAGTGCCCCCCTTGCTGAAACTTGCTGAAGAAGCTTCCAGACCCCCGTAGTACCGTCAATCTCCAACAGTGCCCCCTCCCTTGCTGAAGAGCCTCCAGCCCTCATAGTGCCTCCTCCAACAGTGCCCTGTATCTTGCTGGAAAGCTTCCAGTCCTCTGTAGTGTCCCCTACCTTGCCAAAGAGCTCCAGCCTTCCATCAATCTCCAACAGTGCCCCCTCCCTTGCTGAAGAGCCTCCAGTTCTTGTGAAGAGCCTCCACCCCCCGTAATACCATCAATCTCCAACAGTGCCCCCTCCCTTGCTGAAGAGCCTCCAGCACCTGCCCCCCCTTGCTGAAGAGCTTACCCCCCATCGTAAGTCTCCAACAGTGCCCCCTCCCTTGCTGAAGAGCCTCCAGCCCTCATAGTGCCTCCTCCAACAGTGCCCTGTATCTTGCTGAAAAGCTTCCAGTCCTCTGTAGTGTCCCCTACCTTGCTGAAGAGCTTCCAGCCCCCTTTAATACCATCAATCTCCAACAGTGCCCCCTCCCTTGCTGAAGAACCTCCAGCCCTCATAGTGCACCCCAGCTTGCTGAAGAGCTTCCAGACCCCTGTGATACCATCAATCTCCAACAGTGCCCCCTCCCTTGCTGAAGAGCCTCCAGCCCCCTATAGTTTCCCCAACCTCCAACAGTGTCACACAAGACACCCCAGCCCCTGCAATGCCTTCCAGAATTTCAATAGGTAATCTGTATACCCGTACTTTTATTGTCAGTATAATTTTTTTTTTTTTTCTTTTTTACTATTGGGGCACAGAAGGCTTCAGATGGATTTACCAGGCCCTGGTCTCAATAAGGTTGAAAACCCCTGCCCTAGGGGGCATGTAAATGGCAGGCTGGACTCCAAGGAATTGGACAGAGTAACGTGATTGTTACTGTACTGAAAGAGGACCCGTCATCGCTGGCGGCTGGGGACAGCTCTGGAGTATGGAGGGGGTATATACAACTTGGATTTTTTTATTTATTTATTTTAACCTGGGGGAAGGGGGATTACAATTTTGATACACTTTTAAATAGTAACGTATAAATATACACAAATTATAAAAAAATATATAATTTATTATTTATAAAAAAAAGTACATATATATATATAATATAAAACTAGGCAGTGCATTAAAAAAAAAACAATTAAATAAAAGCTTGTAAATCAAGTTGATGCCCAATATCAAGTTGGGAATTTGTTTTTTTTTTTTTTTTTTTTTTTTGCTGTTGCTGCCCCCCCACCCCCCCAGCATCATTTCTACCCGTCTCCTTTGTGACATCATCTATAACATAACTAGAATGACATTTCAAACCATGTGCTCCGTGTACTAAATCGTCTCCCTCTCATTCCAGGTGTGCACAGACAGGTACTCTTTACCACGGTTGGCATTTTCCTGGGGTATTACGTGACCAAATATGAAAACTACAAGTACGCCCAAGAAGGACCGGGAGTTGTTTAACTACATGAAGACGCACCCAGAGCTTTTCTCCCATAAAGGTGTGTTGGCTGTCTTTGGATCAGGGGAGGTTGGGGTGAGTGGGTGATGGGTGGGGGAGGAGTGGAGGAAAGCGCTCAAGATGTCACGAATGACTGGTATTCTTACTTTGTATTCTTCTTTGAGAAGAGCATCATCCGTAAATCCCAAGGGAGGGAGGGGGGTGAGCGGATTTGAGTGAGCAAGTTTGTTTTTTGTCATTACCTACTCCCACTTCCTCAGTCTTTGCCTAGGCAAGGATAACATGACCTCATCTCACTACCCCTCCCGCCCCCTCCCCACCAGCTGCCTCCTGGGATATGTCAACATGTGTTAGGAGGCTGCAGGAACAGTTTCCCTGTGTTGCACGATCTCATTCATGCCCAGTGGGCAGCAGACTATGATCTGTAAGTCACAGCTGGCTCCCAAATTCAAGATGGTGGTGGGGAAGAATTATGTGGCCTCATCGGGCCGCCGGGTGCCTGGCCTCATTGGGCCGCCGGGTGCCTGGTGGGCCGCCGGGTGCCTGGCCTCATTGGGCCGCCGGGTGCCTGGCCTCGCCGGGTGCCTGGCCTCATTGGGGCCGGGTGCCTGGCCTCATTGGGCCGCCGGGTGCCTGGCCTCATTGGGCCGGTGCCTGGCCTCATTGGGCCGCCGGGTGCCTGGCCTCATTGGGCCGCCGGGTGCCTGGCCTCATTGGGCCCGGGTGCCTGGCCTCATTGGGCCGCCGGGTGCCTGGCCTCATTGGGCCGCCGGGTGCCTGGCCTCATTGGGCCGCCGGGTGCCTGCCATCGGGCCGCCGGGTGCCTGGCCTTATCGGGCCGCCGGGTCTCAGCAGGGTGCCGGGTGCCTGGCCTCAGCTGGGTGCACCAAGGTCTGCCATATCTTCATTCCAGATTGCTGTGGGGCTCTTGCATTTGAGATCTGTAGCGGCCAGCAGGCTTTGTGTCGGCTCCCTCGCTGCGTTGCTCAGGAGCACGTTCCCGGCGCAGTTGGCATCAGTTACAATGGCTCACCAGTAACTGAAGTAAATGTGACATGCCAAGGAAGGAGGAGGAAACCAAAGAATGGGCGAAGCCTGAAAGATATTATAAAGGTTCTTTTTTTTTTTTTTTTTTTGGAAAATAACAAAGATGTCTACATTTACCCACTGTGTGCAGTGGATTTGCACATAGCAGCCTGGATCCTCTTCTTCCTGGGTCCCCCGCAGGCTCTCCTGTCTGTCGGGTGCCCCCACAGCAAGCAGCTTGCTATGGGGGCACCTGCTGCTCCGTGTGTCCATTCACACACTGAGCCACGGCTTGGCCCCACTCCCTCTTGCTCCTCATTGGCTGACTGGCTTTCGTTGACAGCAACGGTAGAAAGTTGTTCACTTTGCTGGATTGCTAGGAGGCTCAGGTAAGTATTGAGGGGGCTGGGGGCACTGCTGCGCATATTGAATGCATAAAAAACCTTCAGCCTTTACGACCACTTGAAGTGTTGTGGTTTTTTTTTTTATTTTTTATTTTTTTTTTTTTTTTTTACCTTACTGCATTCTCTACCTCTATTACGACTTTGATGCTACTTGAGTGTAAAGTCATCTTGCAGTCGCACTACATGAATTGGCAAAAAACTGCAAAAAAGCATCAAAAAGGCAACACTTGTGCATTTTTGATGCGTTTTCACGTTTTATTTTAAGTGCATTGGAAAGTGTGATAGTTCAGTTCATGTATGACTTTACACTCTCTGACACCCAAGTAGCATCAAAGTCACACTACATGGACAGAACTGTCCTACTTTCCTATTACTCAAATACAATGCGACTTTGGAAACGTAAATGTTTCTGCGCTGCTTTGATGCGACTTTGGACACGTAAAGGTTCCTGCACTACTTTGATGCGACGTTGGACACGTAAAGGTTCCAGCGCTGCTTTGATGCGACGTTGGACACGTAAAGGTTCCTGCACTGCTTTGATGTTATGTTGACACTTTCCTGACTGCTTTATGTTTGGACACGTAAAGGTTCCTGCACTGCTTTGATGGACGTTGGACACGTAAAGGTTCCTGCACTGCTTTGATGTTATGTTGGACACGTAAAGGTTCCTGCACTGCTTTTGCGACGTTGGACACGTAAAGGTTCCTGCACTGCTTTGATGCGACGTTGGACACGTAAAGGTTCCTGCACTGCTTTGTTATGTTTAGGTTCCTTGGACACGTAAAGGTTCCTGCACTGCTTTGATGCGACGTTGGACACGTTGGACACGTAAAGGTTCCTGCACTGCTTTGACGTTAAATGATGTTGGACATGTAAAGGTTCCTGCACTGCTTTGATGGACACGTAAAGGTTCCTGCACTGCTTTGATGCGACGTTGGACACGTAAAGGTTCCTGCGCTGCTTTGATGTTATGTTGGACACGTAAAGGTTCCTGCACTGCTGTTATGTTGGACACGTAAAGGTTCCTGCACTACTTTGATGCGACGTTGGACACGTAAAGGTTCCTGCACTGCTGTTGACACGTAAAGGTTCCTGCACTGCTTTGATGTTATGTTGGACACGTAAAGGTTCCTGCACTGCTTTGATGCGACGGCGTAAAGGTTCCTGACTGCTTTGATGTTATGTTGGACACGTAAAGGTTCCTGCACTGCTTTGATGCGACGTTGATGTTCCTGACTGCGTTGGACACGTAAAGGTTCCTCTGCTGCGACTGACACTTTGATGTTGATGTTGGACACGTAAAGGTTCCTGCACTGCTTTGATGTTATGTTGGACACGTAAAGGTTCCTGCACTGCTTTGATGCGACGTTGGACACGTAAAGGTTTCCTGCACGTTGCTTTGATGCGACGTTGGACACGTAAAGGTTCCTGCACTGCTTTGATGCGACGTTGGACACGTAAAGGTTCCTGCACTGCTTTGATGCGACGTTGGACACTGTAAAGGTTCCTGCGTGCTTTGCTTTGTTATGTTGGACACGTAAAGGTTCCTGCACTGCTTTGATGTTATGTTGGACACGTAAAGGTTCCTGCACTGCTTTGATGCGACTTTGGACGCGTAAAGTAAAGGTGTCCATTTTGAAAATGTATGTCACTATCCCGTCCTACTGCACAAGATGATTTGCATGACATGCGTTACACCTCAAGCATGCACTGTACAGCGCTGCAAACTTCCCAGGGAGGCATCCGTGAGGCTCCGGGGGCTACGTCACCCCTGCATTTGGGGAAACCAGGAGGTCGACACCCAAAAAAAAGGAAGGCAAAGTACAAATTTTTTTTTTTAAAAGCGGAGTTCCCCACAAAAGGGGAAGTTCCGCTTTAAAGATTGGTCCCCCGCTCCCCATTAAGGATTGGCACCTTTGGGGAGCGGGTACCCGCTGCGATCGCTTAGGAAACCTGCGGCTCTCTAGCTGTTGTGGAACTACATTTCCCATGAGGCATTGCAAAGATTACAAAACTGACAGTTACAGCTATGACTTGCAGAGGCATGAATGAACTTTTAGTCCTGTGGCTCTCAGGTTGCCTACTCCTGGCCTAGGCGATCGGAAGTGGACGTTGTCCTCCTACCCTCCCTCCCTGTAGTCTTGTGGGACACGTGACAGGTCCCAGAAGACTACAGGACCATTCATGAAGCGCAGCACTACTCGCACATGCGCAGTGGGTACCCGGCTGTGAAGCCGCAAGCTGTCACAGCCGGGTGCCTGGAATACAGGACGGCTGGTGAAACGGGCTGCGGCGGGGGAACCGCGGGATCGTGGGACAGGTAAGTGGCTGTTTTTTTTAAAGTCAGTAGCTACAGGTGTTTTGTTTTGTTTTTTTTGTTTTGTTTTTTTTTGTAGCTGCTGACTTTTATTTTTTTACAGAGTGAGTGGAACTCCGCTTTAAGGGGTAGATCACCTTTTACTAAAAAAAAAAAAAACTGCAGGTAAGGGGCGCAGCTGGATAAAAACAAGCTGTGCGGCTTTGAGTAAAGCTGAATAATGCCCTTGCTTTAGGTGTAAGCCATTTACATACCTCCCTGGAGCCTTGCCAAAGATGGCATCATCCCATCCTGCCCTGTTGCTAGGACTTTGCTAAGACACTCCCACCTGATACTGCCTATCCCCATCATCACAATAGTGCGCTCTCAAACCCCCGCACATGCGTGGTCCGCTCTCTCCCCTGTCACTCCCACCATCACAAGAGTGCGCTCTCGGACCCCCGCACATGTGTGTCTCCCCTGTCACTCCCACCATCACAAGAGTGCGCTCTCGGACCCCCGCATGTGTGTGGTCCACTCTCTCCCCTGTCACTCCCACCATCACAAGAGTGCGCTCTCAAACCCTACCCGCATGTGTGTGGTCCACTCTCTCCCCTGTCACTCCCACCATCACAAGAGTGCGCTCTCAACCCCCTACACGTGTGGTCCACTCTCTCCCCTGTCACAGCATTGCTGAGCTCGGAGCTACTGCAATGGAAGACACAGAGCTTATGTAAGGGGGTTTGAATCAGCTGTGAGTGTGTTAGCAACAGTGTAGGACAGGATGACGCCATCTCTGGGAATTTTCCACCAGGCTTCAAGAGGTACGTACATTGCCTATACCGATAGCAGAGGAATTATTTAGGTTTGGTCAAAGCAGCACAGATTGTTTGTATCTACAGGCGCCCCTTACCTGCTTCGGCAGGTTTTGGTAAAAATGAAGGCCTTGCTCAATGGTTTCACATCCACACACAGAGATGCATGCTGATGTGATTATTTATTTATTTTTTTAAAGCAGTATTAACCACTTGCCCTGCAGAGGATCCCCCCCCCCCTTCCTGACCAGGACAATTTTTTTTGATACGGCGCTGCGTTACTTTAACTGACAATTGCGCAGTCATGCAACGCTGTACATAAACAAAATGTTATGTTCTTTTTTTTTTCTTTTCTTTTCTTTTTTTTTTTTTTTACCACAAATAGAGCTTTCTTTTTGGGGAAAAAAATTTTTTTTTTTACCTTTTTGCTATAAAACCTATCCAGGAAAAAAAGTGTTAAAATCAAACTTCGTCATAAATTTAGGCCAGAATGTATTCTGCTCTGTTTTTGCGGAACAAAACTCCCAATATGTGTAAATTAATTGGTTTACGTGAAAGTTATAGCGTCTACAAATGGCGGTATAAATACTGGAAAATTTTTTTTTTTTATATATATATATATATACTAGTAATGTTGGCGATTAGCGACTTATAGCAGGACTGCGGCGAGCATTCTGACACGAGGGGGGGGGGGGGGACTGACCGTCACTGACATCCCCAGTGACACTAGTACAGTGATCAGTGCTAATAAAAGCACTGACACTGCAGTAATGACTCTGGGCAGGAAGGGGTTAACATCTGGGGTAATCAAAGGGTTAACTGTGTGCTGTGTTGTCTTTTACATAGTGTGCTGCTTTACTATGTAGACAAGCTGCTTTGTATTAATCTGCTGTGCAGAGCAATACAAAGCAGCATGTCCATGCTGACAGGAGAGATCTGTGTTTGCATACAGACCTCTCCGTCAGCGCCACTCACGATCAAATCCCGGTTGAGAATTGGTGGCCGGGACCCAGTGATTGGCATGCCGAGGAGCCAATAGCAGCGGAAATGCAAAATCCCTGTCGCCTTGTAACAGTACTTTTGCTGTAGTGCAGTTGGGAAGCGGTTAAAGTGTTACTAAACCCACAGCAGTAAAATCAGTCTGTATATGTAGTAAAGCATGCTTGTTATACTCACTGTGGAATCTAAGGGGTTAATCCTCTGCATTGTGTAAAAACACTATTCGATCCTGACTTCTCTGATCCTCCCCTTCTTCCAGTATCCCCCTCTTATCTCTTGATAAGACATATGTGGAGACACTCTGCACATGCTCAGTTTGGTTTGTATCTCTAGAGAAGTTTTCTTATTTTTTCTTGGATGAATGTATGATCAGCACAGGGCCAATCAGCACTGTCCAGACAGAGGTCAGGGGTTCTACATCCTTCTACTCAAGCCTTAACCAGTGCTCTGCTGGACACTGATGGAAGTCACAAGAGTGCTATATACTGCTGATGAGAAAAGGTATTTAGCAGTTTATATTTAGTGAAATAATTGCATTTCCATGTTCTGTGTACTGTGGGAGACCAGATATAGTGAATTCAGGGTCCTGGGAGATCAGATATAGTGAATGCGGGGTCCTGGGAGATCAGATATAGTGAATGAGGGGTCCGGGGAGACCAGATATAGTGAATGCGGGGTCCTGGGAGACCAGATATAGTAAATGCGGGGTCCTGGGAGACCAGATATAGTGAATGCGGGGTCCTGGGAGATCAGATATAGTGAATGCGGGGTCCTGGGAGATCAGATATAGTGAATGCGGGGTCCCTGGGAGACCAGATATAGAGAATGCGGGGTCCCGGGAGACCAGATAAAGTGAATGCAGGATCCCGGGAGACCAGATATAGTGAATGCAGGATCCCGGGAGATCAGATATAGTGAATGCAGGGTCCCGGGAGATCAGACATAGTGAATGCAGGAGACCAGATATAGTGAATGCAGGGTCCTGGGAGACCAGATATAGTGAATGCAGGATCCCGGGAGATCAGACATAGTGAATGCAGGAGACCAGATATAGTGAATGCGGGGTCCTGGGAGACCAGATATAGTGAATGCGGGGTCCTGGGAGACCAGATATAGTGAATGCGGGGTCCTGGGAGACCAGACAGTGAATGCAGGAGACCAGATATAGTGAATGCAGGGTCCTGGGAGACCCGATATAGTGAATGCAGGGATATAGTGAATGCGGGGTCCTGGGAGATTTAGTGAACACTTTAGAAAACCCCAAAACAATCATTTAGTTTTCTTGTTTAGCCTTTCTCTTCTCTATTTTCACCTGGTGATCCATCCAGTAAGTCTGTTCTTTTTCAACAGAACAAGCTGTCCTGCAGATGTAGCAGTTACAGAGATAAGATAAACCATTTAACACGGTCAGGGATGCTTACACTGATCATCTTCTATTTATCCTCCCTGGTGGTATTCCCGAGTGTAGCTCGGGGAAAAGTTTCAGTTCCAAAAGCGGTAACCCCAAGCTACACTCGGGCTTACCATGCGGCGTTGCTCAGGGAGTTCCTGCAGCGCTTACCTTGTCCTTCGCTCCCGCGTTGCGTCCCCTGCAGCGTCCCCGGCCATCTCCTCTGGCTGATGCCGGCATCCGGCTTCCATGTTCCGGTCCCTGTGATGTCAGGACGTACGGGCGCCGGAATCGGCGGCAAATTTGAAACTTTTAAAAAATTTCATTTTTTTTAAAAAAATTATTATTAAATAGTAAAACATTGCTGTTTCAAACCATTTCACATACATTTTGTCCCAAGTGCTTTGTCCGGCGCCCTGCCTGCATTTTTACTGTTCTTTCTGCCTGGGAACTGAGAAAAGTCCATGGCGTCCAAAAAGCACCCCTTTAGGTCAAAAGCGGTTTTAGACCGGCTAGAGAACAGCGATAGTAAATCAGAACCACTTGCAGAATTGAGTGATAATGATTTGTGGGGGAAATTCCTCATCAGACGCTGAAAACAATTCTGCGACTTTGCTCAGCGATGTGCGAACTTGGCGCTATATTTCACATTTCAGTGTTTTTGGTTTGATTATATTATTGAACTAAATGTATTATTATTATTATATTATTATTTTTTATGATTATTTATTAAATTATAATTTATGATTTCGTGTTTCAAGTGTTATCATCCCCGGGATGTTTACTAGACTCTTGTTCGGACAGATTTCAGTGAGTTATTCCTAAATTACAGGCCTTGGCGCTTTCAGCACCAAAAATCTGAACTAATCAGACCGCTAGGGAGGTTAATTATGTGAAACTTTTATCCCAAAAGAAAAAAAAAACCTGTTTGCATTAACTACTTAAGTGTTAGCTGGAGATTTGTTGGTGTATTTAAATCTGCTAGTACATCTAACACTCCCCTCCCACCAGACTGACGATGCTGCTGCCGGCCGTGCTCCCTGCGCTCCTTCTTCCAGAGTGGGGGGCACTGCAATACATGAGATTTGTTACTGGCCAGATCACCAGGTGACAACAGAGAGGCAAAAATCCTTAAAAAGAACACTAATGCAGCAGCCGCATCTAAGGATAGGTAAGCTGCAATATATTACATTTTGGGTTTTAATACCGCTTTAATGCTGGGAATGTTCTGCCTTCAGAACCGTTTCAAATGGTAACACAACTTGACATTTTCTATTTTTAATTCAATAGTTCATTTACAACCCCTTGACAGGGGTCACACAAATAAGCGGCCTCACAGAACTGGGTTTTCCATGAGGCCGCATATTTGCATACCTGTCTTTGTGCTGGGAGCGCATCACACAGCGTGCTCCCAGCACAAAGACCACGGTGTCACTGAGAGCATCGGGTCCCGTTCTAACAATCGGGACCCGGAACTCCCGATTCTGGGTCACATGATCGCTGTGATAGCCTCTGATTGGCTATCACACTGATCAGTCACTGTACAACCCAGCCCCCTTGTTTTTTTTTTCTCTCTCAATGAATGGAGGAGAGAGATACATTGTATCGTATATATACATCCTATTATATACATCCCATTATTGTATCGTTATATACATCCCTATTATACATTGTATCGTTATATACATCCTATTATACATTGTATCGTTATATACATCCCATTATACATTGTATCATTATATACATCCCATTATACACTGTATCATTATATACACCCTATTATACATTGTATCATTATATACATCCTATTATACATTGTATCATTATATACATCCTATTATACATTGTATCATTATATACATCCTATTATACATTGTATCCTTATATACATCATATTATACATTGTATCATTATATACATCCTATTATACATTGTACATCATTATATCCATCCTATATACATCATTAATATACATATATTATACATTGTATCCTTATATACATCATCCTATTATACATTGTATCCTTATATACATCCTATTATACATTGTATCCTTATATACATCCTATTATACATTGTATCCTTATATACATCCCATTATACATTGTATCGTTATATACATCCTATTATACATTGTATCCTATACATCCTATTATACATCCTTATATACATCCTATTATACATTGTATCCTTATATACATCCCATTATACATTGTATCCTTATATACATCCCATTATACATTGTATCCTTATATACATCCCATTATACATTGTATCGTTATATACATCCTATTATACATTGTATCCTTATATACATCCTATTATACATTGTATCCTTATATACATCCCATTATACATTGTATCGTTATATACATTCCCATTATACATTGTATTATACATTATACATTGTATCCTTATATACATCCCATTATACATTGTATCATTATATACATTCTATTATACATTGTATCCTTATATACATCCTATTATACATTGTATCCTTATATACATCCTATTATACATTGTATCCTTATATACATCCTATTATACATTGTATCCATTATATACATCCTATTATACATTGTATCCTTATATACATCCTATTATACATTGTATCATTATATACATCCTATTATACATTGTATCCTTATATACATCCTATTATACATTGTATCATTATATACATCCTATTATACATTGTATCATTATATATATACATCCTATTATTATACATTGTATCCTTATATACATCCTATTATACATTGTATCATTATATACATCCTATTATACATTGTATCATTTATATACATCCTATTATACATTGTTATATCATTATATATACATCCTATATACATTATTATCATTTATATACATCCTATTATACATTGTATCATTATATACATCCTATTATACATTGTATCTTATATACATCCTATTATACATTGTATCCTTATATACACATCCCATTATACATTGTATATTTATACATCCTATTATACATTGTATCATTATATACATCCTATTATACATTGTATCATTATATACATCCTATTATACATTGTATCATTATACATTCCTATTATACATTGTATCCTTATATACATCCTATTATACATTGTATCGTTATATACATCCTATTATACATTGTATCCTTATATACATCCTATTGTACATTGTATATACATCCTATTATACATTGTATCCTTATACACACACCCTATTATACATTGTATCATTATATACATCCTATTATACATTGTATCCTTATATACATCCCATTATACATTGTATCCTTATTTACACATCCCATTATACATTGTATCATTATATACATCCTATTATACATTGTATCATTATATACATCCTATTATACATTGTATCATTATATACATCCTATTATACATTGTATCATTTTACAAATCCTATTATACATTGTATCCTTATATACATCCTATTGTACATTGTATCCTTATATACATCCTATTGTACATTGTATCATTATATACATCCTATTGTACATTGTATCATTATATATACATCCTATTATACATTGTATCTCTCTAACTCCTGGCATAGAGGGGAAAAATGTTTGTAAAAAATAAAAAGATAAATATTAAAAAATAAAGAGAAAAAATTACCTAGATCAAAGTTTGATCTAGTTCAATGACAGGGTTAGTGTTTGGGTCAAGGTCAGGATTTAAAAAAACAAATTAGTGTCAGTGTGTTTTAGGTAAAAAAAAAAGACAAAAACAAAATGCGCACTATTAATTCTGGGCTGTACTACAAGTACAAACAACAAATAACATACACATATATGGTATCGCTGCGATCATCAAGAGCTGAAAATTTTTTTTTTGAGTTCTTTGGTGGTAGGTTATGGTAGTAACAAGAAACACTCTGCTAAATAAAAAAAAAATATTTTTTTTTACTTTTTTGGGCCAGTTTTCCTTTGATAAAAAAAAAAAATCTGGAGATATCCATTACCATTTACCACCAAATGAAAGCCCAATCTGTCCTGAAAAAAAACCGCGATATAATTCACCTGGATGTACAGAGTAGTTGTGATGATATGTACGGTTTTACTAACACATGTCAGCGTTGCAAAATTGTGCTTAGGCATTAAGATTTGTTTTACCCTTAGGCATGAAGGGGTAAGAAAAAAAAACAATTCACTTTATATTTCTTCTCTATTCCCTCTGTTTTCTAGAACCTCGGAGAATTGGAGAGATCACGGATAAATTCTACCCCGTGCGCTGAAACCGCCCCTCATATCAGGACGTCCAGACAAGTGTTTTCTGTTGTAAAGGCGCTGGCTGTCCTCAGTGATGTCATAAAATCCATTCTGTAACCCTGTAAAATAAAATATTATCTGACTTCTTTTCTTGTGTTTTGTTTTTTGTTTGTTTTTTTATCTTTCAGTATAGATATGTACAATGTGTCTGTGATTCCGGCTGACACTGTTCACTTCATCCTTGGATTACTACAGCAAGCATCTCGCTGCTCACTTGCAACATCAAAAATGACAGCTGAGCTCCAGGCACACAGGTAATTACAGAGATGAGATCCATATCTGACATCTGTTTTGTCAAATGAGTCGTGTCCAACCTGTCTGGAGATTTACAGAGTTCTGCCCGACAGTACAGGCTTGTCTAACAGAGTAGGAAACCTACTGCAGTTAGTATTTCTAAATCCACAGCAGTACAATCAGTCTGTAGATGCAGTAAAGCGTGCTTGTTATACTCACTGTGGAACCTAAGGGGTTAATCCTCTGCATTGTGTAGAAGAACTGTTTGATCTTGTCTTCTCTGATCCTCTTCTTCTTCTACAGTCCCCTGTCCATCTACTGAAAGTACAGAGCTCTATGAGGCACTCTAGTAATACACACTAAACTGGGCATGTGCAGAGAGGTTTTTTTTTTTTTTTTTTCCTTTTGGGAGGGTGCACGTGATCAGCACATGGCCAAGCAGCATTGTCCAGACAGAGGGTCAGGGGTTATGAAGCCTCATCAGATATATTAAATTGAGGTCCTGAGAAATCTTATATAGTGAATGCGGGGTCCTGGGAGACCAGATATAGTGAATGCGGGGTCCTGGGAGACCAGATATAGTGAATGCGGGGTCCGGGGAGACCAGATATAGTGAATGCGGCGTCCGGGGAGACCAGATATAGTGAATGCGGGGTCCGGGGAGACCAGATATAGTGAATGCCGTCCGGGGAGACCAGATATAGTGAATTCGGGGTCCTGGGAGACCAGATATAGTGAATGCGGAGTCCTGGGAGACCAGATATAGTAAATGCGGAGTCCTGGGAGATCAGATATAGTGAATGCAGGGTCCTGGGAGACCAGATATACAGGTGAAACTCCAAAAATTAGAATATTGTGCAAAAGTTTATTTCGGTAACGCAACTTAAAAGGTGAAATTAATATATGAGAGACTCATTACATGCAAACCAAGATAGTTCAAGCCGTGATTTGTCATAATTGTGATGATTATGGCTTACAGCTCATGAAAACCCCAAATCCACAATCTCAGAAAATTAGAATATTGTGAAAAGGTGCAATATTCTCGGCTCAAAGTGTCCCACTCTAATCAGCTAATTAAGCCATAACACCTGCAAAGGGTTCCTGAGCCTTTAAATGGTCTCTCAGTCTGGTTCAGTAGGAATCACAATCATGGGAAAGACTGCTGACCTGACAGTTGTGCAGAAAAACCATCATTGACACCCTCCATAAGGAGGGAAAGCCTCAAAAGGTAATTGCAAAAGAAGTTGGATGTTCCCAAAGTGCTGTATCAAAGCACATTAATAGAAAGTTATGTGGAAGGGAAAAGTGTGGAAGAAAAAGGTGCACAAGCAGCAGGGATGACCGCAGCCTGGAGAGGATTGTCAGGAAAAGGCCATTCAAAAGTGTTGGGGACTTTCACAAGGAGTGGACTGAGGCTGGAATCAGTGTATCAAGAGCCACCACACACACAGACGGATCCTGGACATGGGCTTCAAATGTCGTATTCCTCTTGTCAAGCTGCTCCTGAACAACAAACAACGTCGGAAGCGTCTTACCTGGGCTAAAGAAAAAACAGATCTGGTCTGTTGCTCAGTGGTCCAAAGTTATCAACTTTTGCATCTCATTTGGAAACCAAGGACCCCGAGTATGGAGGAAGAATGGAGAGGCCCAAGGACCCCGAGTATGGAGGAAGAATGGAGAGGCCCAAGGACCCCGAGTATGGGAGGCCCAAGGAAGAATGGAGAAGCACACACACTGCAAGATGCTTGAAGTCCAGTGTGAAGTTTCCACAGTCTGTGTTGATTTGGGGAGCCATGTCATCTGCTGGTGTTGGTCCACTGTGCTTCATTAAGTCCAGGGTCAACGCAGCCATCTACCAGGAGATTTTGGAGCACTTCATGCTTCCTTCCACAGACGAGCTTTATGGGGATGCTGACTTCATTTTCCAGCAGGATTTGGCACCTGCCCACACTGCCAAAAGCACCAAAACCTGGTTCAATGACCATGGGATTACTGTGCTTGATTGGCCAGCAAACTCGCCTGACCTGAACCCCATAGAGAATCTATGGGGCATTGCCAAGAGAAAGATGAGAGACATGAGACCGAACAATGCAGAAGAGCTGAAGGCCGCTATTGAAGCATCCTGGTCTTCCATAACACCTCAGCAGTGCCACAGACTGATAGCTTCCATGCCACGCTGCATTGAGGCAGTAATTGCTGCAAAAGGGGCCCCCAAACCAAGTACTGAGTACATATGCATGCTTATACTTTTCAGAGGTCCGATATTGTTCTATGTACAATCCTTGTTTTATTGATTGCATGTAATCTAATTTTCTGAGATTGTGGATTTGGGGTTTTCATGAGCTGTAAGCCATAATAATCACAATGATGACAAATCACGGCTGGAACTATCTTGCTTTGCATGTAATGAGTCTATCTCATATATTAGTTTCACCTTTTAAGTTGTATTACTGAAATAAATTAACTTTTGCACGATATTCTAATCTTTTGAGTTTCACCTGTAGTGAATGCAGGTTCCTGGGAGACCAGATATAGCGAATGCAGGGTGCTGGGAGACAAGATATAGCGAATGCAGGGTGCTGGGAGACCAGATATAGTGAATGCAGGTTCCTGGGAGGCCAGATATAGTGAATGCAGGGTGCTGGGAGACAAGATATAGCGAATGCAGGGTCCTGGGAGATCAGATATAATGAATGCAGGTTCCTGGGAGACCAGATATAGCGAATGCAGGGTGCTGGGAGACAAGATATAGCGAATGCGGGGGTCCTGGGAGACCAGATATAGCGAATGGGGGGGGTCCGGGGAGACCAGATATAGCGAATGGGGGGTCCTGGGGTCCGGGGGGTCCGGGGAGATCAGATATAGCAAATGGGGGGGTCCGGGGAGATCAGATATAGTGAATGCGGGGTCCGGGGAGATCAGATATAGTGAATGCGGGGTCCTGGGAGACCTGACTGACCTTATGAAGCAATTATCTCCAGCAGAAACAAAACTTGTGGCTTCACCCTCTCTGCCTAAACTTCGCTTAGTGGTACAACTTAAAGATCAACTTAAGACACTTGAGGATAGTTCTATAGCAAAGAAACTGTTATGGATGAAACAAGTTTTATCAATACGCTAATAAACCTCATAGGATGTTGGTTAATAAACTGAAATCACACTCGACTACTTCCGCTCCTGAATTTATGTTTCAAGCGGATGGCACCCCTACTTTTTGTCCCCCAAGATTGCCCGAGTGTTCGGAGACTTCTACCGTAAACTTTACAACTGTTTATCACCAGACATACACCCTACCTTCCACGGAGATTCCTTCAACACTTTTTTTTTTTTTTCCAGCCCTTCGCCTCCCTAAACTGAAAAGGGAGGAGAGATTAATTTTGAAACGCACCTATTACTATGGAGGAACTGTGTGCAGTTGTTAAGGAACTACCGTTGCACAAAGCAGATCTATTGGAATTCTTGGTGAGACAGGCAGGAGACAACACTAGGCGTACGATCAATTTAGTTGACTTACTCCATGGCTCATGAACACCGACGCTATTGCTCAGTTTGGATGCCCAGAAGGCATTTGACAGGTTGGGATGGTCCTATATGTTTGAATTACTGCGACGTGGGAATACAAGGCCCTTTTTTACAGCTATTACTGCACTGTATTCACGAACTACCGCACAGGTTAACCTCTTCACGCTGGCCGAACGCAGATGTGCGCCCTCCCAGCATCTGGGCCTAGAGGCCGAGCAGCCACACATTTGCGTTCTATTAAAAAAAGACATATGTGCAGAGAGCACGCGCCCTGCGCGCTCCCAGCACACATGTCCGGTACTCAGGGAAAGGTCCCTATCTCCTCTTTCGATCGGGACCTTTCCCGATCATGCGATCACATGACCCTAAGCCCCGCCCTGCCTCGCCTCCCGGCTTCTGAAACCCTTAAAGGGCCGGGAGACACTGGCGGGAAGGGGTTAAGCTTTCGTATGCCAGATCCGATACTTTTCTCATGCTCAACAGAACTAGACAGGGGTGTCCTCTGTCCCCGCTCCTATTCATGTTGTGTCCTGAACCATTGGCAGTAGCAATCAGAATACACCCTGACATAGCGGGAGCGACTATGATGGTGAAGGAATATAAACGCTCACTTTTTGCAGATGACGTTCTATTGACTATTACTAGAAAAGGGAAGGTGCCAACATCCCTAAAGAATACAAGGGGGGGGGGGTCATCTTTTGGACAGGACTTTAAGAATTTTTTTTTTAAAAACAATATGCAATTTTATTATTACAATCGAGAAAAACAAACATGAAGCTACACTACATATTGCGGCGGTGTCATCAAAGATGGTGTTACAAATCTAATCACGGATCATGCTCGGTTTGCACTTGACACGTTTCGAGATCAACAAAAATCTCTTCCTCAGAAGTGCTCAAGAAGTCATGACGCCTATAACAGACATACATTTATTAATATACATCGCACAGTTTAATTAGTATAAACAATTTGAAAATTTACGATATGGTTCTACACTTACATGTGCGGTAAAAAAAACCGCCAGAAATTTTTTAAAGAACTAATTGTTATATGAGAAATCCTTGGCTGTTTCATATATCTCAGGCAAAAATGATAAAACAAAAAATGGTAAAAAAAAGAAAAAATGAACCAGTGAAGGATCGATGCCGCCCAAACGCCTCCTGATGGGGCTACACCCAAATGCACTGGCAACAAGATTACCTGCTGGCTGATACTAATAGGGCAGTGCTGCAATATAAATAATGAAAAACAATAATATTAAAAACAATTCAATATCATCAACCCTAAAGGAGATTATAATTAAGAGCTAAACGCCCTTACTAGGAGCAGGGGTGGACTGACAACTCATGGGGCCCCTGGGCAATAGGGGATCATAGGGCCCCTGTGTCCTTGCCCAAACTCAAAAAAGCCTATGAAAAAGATACCAGGGGCATCTCATGGGCCCCCCTACTGACCCTGGGCCCTCAGGCAGTGCCCAAGTTTCCAAATGGTCAGTACTCCCCTGGTGAGGAGCGGTGACCCCAATAAATTGCGTGAGAAAGTGTTGATGGCCTGATAAAAAAAATCAGGACTGGGATGTAAAAAACAACCCACTATAAGGCAGTGTGCCTAAATCAAAAACGTGTACAAATATTATAATGCTAAAAAAGAGAGAAAAAAAAAAGAAATATAAATAATGAAAAAGAAACTAAATAAGTGTTGCAATAGTTGAGTAATATATGTAATAAACCCACCAGGTCTATCCAATGAGGCACGCTTGATGGCCACGAGCACAAAAATGAGCTCATTAGCCCGGATTAAATACAGCTAGGGTGGCTTGAAAAAGCTCCAATCAGCTGAGGGCAGAGAAGAGCTCAATCCAAACGGACCAATGGCTAGGTCCGATCAAATTATGTACGTAAGGATACCTCTATATTGTTGGACTTCATGCTGGAAATATGGTGAGCTCCAATTTTATTTGCCTACATAAAAGCAATTGCAGTCACAAGTGAGCAGATAAACTACCCCTTTAGTTTTCCAGCCTGAAGTCCAACAATATAGCGGTACCCTTAGGTACCGCCGCAATATGTATTGTAGCTTCATGTTTGTTTTTCTCGATTGTAAAAATTAAAATTGCATATTTTTAAAAAAAATTCTTGTTGAGCTGTTCAAATTTATTATATAAGAGAAATGTGCCTTTAAAGTCCCGTCCAAAAGAGGACTCATCCCCCCCCCCCCCGTATTGACTATTACTAAACCACATTTGTCTTTGCCTGCTTTACATAAACTTTTACACGCTTTTAGTGATCTATCTGGCTGTAAAATAAACACTTCAATGATGGAAGCTCCGCCCAGTAGCCTCCTTAGCGGTCTGATTATGTCAGTATTTCTGTGCTCAAAGCGGTACATTTTTTTGCATAGAAATACGTCGTTTTTTTTTTTATTGTAGGCCTGTAATTCTTAGAATAACTCACTGAAATCTGTCCGAACAAGAGTCTAGTGAACATCCCGGGTATGATCAAATTTGAAACACGAAATCATAAATTATAATTGAATAAATAATCATAAAAAATAATATAATATTAATAAATTTAATTCAATAATATAATCAAACTAAAAACACTGAAATTTGAAATAGAGCGCCAAGTTCGCACATCGCTGAGCAAATTCGCAAAATCGTTTACAGTGTCTGATGAGGAATTTCCCCCACGAATCATTATCACTCAATTCTGCAAGTGGTTCTGATTTACTATCGCTGTTCTCTAGCCGGTCTAAAGCCGCTTTTGACCTAAAGGGACGCTTTTTGGACGCCATGGACGTTTCTCAGTTTCCAGGCAGAAAGAACAGTAAAAATGCAGGCAGGGCGCCGGACAAAGCACTCAGGACAAAATGTATGTGAAATGGTTTGATACAGGAATGTTTTACTATGTGATTTTAGTGTATTTAGTGAATGTCACTTTTTGACATTTTTAAATTTCCCGCCGTTCCGTCCCCCGTATGTCCCGACGTCGCAGGTTCCCGGAAGACAGATGCCGGCATCGGCTGGAGGAGATTGCAGGGAACACTGCAGGGGGGACATCGCGGGAGCGAAGGACAAGGTAAGTGAAGAAGAGATCCCGGAGCAGCGCTGCATGGTATTCCTGAGTGTAGCTCGGGGTCACCGCTTGTGGTGCTGAAACTTTACCCCGAGCTACACTCGGGAATACCTCCAGGGGATATCCCATCCCAAGACCTCTCATTGCTCCAACAAAATTACTCATAGCACTGGTGGATGTCATCTATTAAATACCTTGGCAGTCATATAACCCCAACTTATGCTCAGTTGTTTGAGGCCAACTACCTTTTTCTACGCTCTCCTAAATCAGTGGGATGCTTATCAGACATTTTTCTTGGGCAGGGTAAATGTGTTAAAGATGTCAATTTTGCCAAAGTTACTTTACCTTTTTTGAGACTCTCCCAGTCGGGATTCCACAAGCTCAACTGCAAACTCTACAACGAACATTTGTTAAATTTATTTGGCTTGCCAGAAAGCCTCGAATAGCGCGAACGGTTCTTTTGGCATCTAAAAATAATGGAGGCTTAGGGGCACCAGATATTACCAATTACTACTTAGCCACTCATTTAAGACAAATGCTATCATGGTTCACCCAAAAACCTCAGAACAGATGGGCAGAGATTGAACTAGGCTATATTTATCCGATCCAAACATGATCTTTGTTACGCCCTTTTCATTATGCATTACCTGTGTACCCTCTCTCCCCTTTGCTCGAATCTATGAAATTTACACTCAAAGACTGGTCATCTCTCAACTTGACTACTGCAACTCCCTCCTCATTGGCTTACCTTTACATAGGCAATCCCCCCCCTCCAGTCCATCATGAATACTGCTGCCAGGCTCATCCACCTTACCAACCATTCAGTGTCTCTACGAGGGGGAGGGTGCTACCCTCCTCTGCCAATCCCTCCACTGACCTCCAATCAGTGTCCTCCACCCCTCTCTGCCCATCCCTCCACTGACCTCCACTCAGTGTCCTCCACCCCTCTCTGCCCATCCCTCCACTGACCTCCAATCAGTGTCCTCCACCCCTCTCTGCCATCCCTCCACTGACCTCCAATCACTGTCCTCCACCCCTCTCTGCCAATCCCTCCACTGACCTCCAATCAGTGTCCTCCACCCCTCTCTGCCAATCCCTCCACTGACCTCCAATCA